TCCTTTGTCTTAAAAAAAAGTCCTTCGAAATCAATGAATTAATACTATCACCCCTTCATTGTTATAGGGTACTGGAAAAGCTACAATTAACTGATCCTTGTCGCTATATAATCTCTATAGGAAACAACCGTCGAAAGTATTTTAGAAATGGGTTTTTCCGTACTTTTACGCGAGTTAGCTATAATATTTAGGAATTATTTGTTCTACTTTTTTTCTTTTACAAAGCTCCGTATCGAAAGTTGATATTTCTCATATGGCCTATTTCTCTCAAACCATAAAAGCAAAAATTTTGAAAAGAGTGTAGAAATATAGAGAGCAAAATTACCATTCGATTCATGCGAAATACTTTATATTTACTAACAAACTTCATCTGGGAAAACGGAGCACAAATCAAACAGATAGTCAACGGTTACGCGTCACCGCACTTTAAGTTACTGCTTTCAAAACATTCTTCTCACTTCACAATCAAACCAAAGATCATTCATCTCCAGTTTAAAAACCACTTACTCCCAGCAAAAGGATTCTGGTGAGATTTTAATGCTAAAGACTTTTCGAATGATGCATAAACCATGATTTTCTCCATATCTTCTGCTTAAAAAGCGGCTATGCACGCGTAAAAACAAAAAATTAAGTTGAAATTCGAAATCACCGTGTTAACAAACCTACACACGGTTATTTTCAGCTCAAAATAAGCAAACGAAGAAAAGCAGAAAAAGTAAGTTAAAGTGAGGTTTGAGCCTTCGTCTTTCTGCGCCGAAGTTCCAAACACTACCGCTTGGCTGAGTTAGTCGTCTCACTAGGTCATCTCTGTAACTCAGAGACACGCTGCCACTAGGTCACTGACCTACTGATGCAACAGTTTTCTCAGTGGGTAAAGCGGATCCATTTAGATGAGTCACTCAGTAGGTCACTGATCCACTCTATCTTCTACAGTGTACCCTTAACTGAAAGAGCTCGTGTTGGAGCAGACAAGGACAATATCACGATATAAAACCTACACATTTTATTATATTTATAAACTTATTATTTTTTGTTATATTGTTCTCTGATAAAAGACATCAGTCAGCTTGTATATACTTTTCTTCTCAGGTTTATTAATAATAAACTGCTGCTTCCTCAAATGCAGTGGGACTAAGAATGTAGAATATGTATTGTAGCCCAACTGACAAATAAAGTTTTTTTCCCACTTTAGTACTCTTATTAGCTCAGTATTGATATATACATCAATAAGTAAATCTGATACCCACAGACACAAACAAATGGCGTACATCAATCTATTCGTGTACACGCAGATCTAATCTCAAAACTACTTCACGACGAAGCAGAGAAAAGCTGTATGCTATTAAATAATTTCATTTCCTATATACAGATGCAGTTCATTAGGGTTAGTCACTCATAAATACAACAAAGCATCCCATGTCGAGCTTCTTTTTAAAATACCGTCGGTCACCGTCGGTTCAATGTCAAGTTCGATATCGAAGTTTCATTAAAAAACTTTTCATTAAAAGAACTTTTATCCAGGAGGAAATTTATTAAAATTTTTAATGAAATTCTTGTGCCATCAAAAACTTTTTATGAAACTCCATGTCACAATCACTTTGTAGGCGACATTTTAATGAACGTTCAGCGAACAGAATATAAGTTAAAGACCCGAAAATAGGTGGATGTATTTAAGCGGAAAAAGTAAGCTACGGTACATAAGTAATGAGACAAATGTCGAGGTGAGCCGTTTTTCAACAGAATGAGTTAGAGACTTCATTCTTTCGTCATTAGAAAGAGCGAAGTCTCAGCTTCGAAATGCATGTTTTAGAAAAACATTTGATGAAGTTAAGTTAATTAAATTTAAATTTTAAAAGAACCGCCAAAAACGGCTTGTAACATTTCATAATGTTGTTGTAAATCTGATAATTGATTATCAACATCCATCATAAGACTGTTAATAACGTATCAAAGGTTTTAAGAGTGCTAGTAATACCCCAGGAAAGCACATGAAAAATTACTATTAATCGTTTCATTTACAACTATAACATGGGATTAATTCTGGTGTAATTACCAGCAATTTAAATATTAGAAGCATCAACAACCTTTACTTTCGCTTTTCTTTGTTGATGTTCTATCTCTGTTTAGGTCTCTAAAGTCACACAAAAAAATTAGGTTTTTACAGGTTTCTTTGACTTTCAGCATTTTGGGGATATCTCGAGAAGGAAAGCATATTTTTTGAAAAGAAAAAAACCGAATCTGAGATAGGGTTTGAAGTATCTGTGGTAAAATTTTGAGCTCGATCGGACCATTTTTTCGAGGGGTCATAATGTGTCTGGATGAAAACCAGAGTTTTCTAGAAAATCCATAGAAGAACATGTCACAAAATTCTGTGCAAAAAATACATCGATTTTCTTTGTTGATGTTCTATCTCTGTTATAAATTTCACTCCGATCCCACATTGGCGTTCCCGGTTTCTAATAGAGTCAAAAAAGTGGGGGAGGTACCCTTAAAAAGCTATAACAAGCATTTAGTATTCAACTGATGCATCTTCACCTGATTTAATACATTTTTCTGTTGTTGTTTCTTTTTTTATATTTTCTTCATCTATCTTAGATATTTTTGTCTATCAGGATGATGGGAATTATGAGAAATTTGCATTTTGAATTGGTGTTTAAAATAGAATAGTAAAAAACATAGATTAAAATGCACACGAGACAATGACGGCTCATCCTCCCTATTTAAATGATTTTTATTATAATAATAATAACAGTAACAATTATCAATCTCCAAATAATATAAATAATCGTTTTGCTACCACCGGCTCGAAAGGCGAATCAAGGTGAGTGAATATGGTAGTTGTGTCCGTCCACATTGTACGAACAAGACCAATTTTATTTATCTTTATGCTTAACATCCGAACTGGAATACACGATTAGACTGTTTTGTTGACGATAAGAAATGTTGTAAAAATCTGATAGTTTTCTATCTTTAGCATATCTTTTGATTTTAAAGTTATTCTTGACAAAACGTTTATTTTACCTGTCAGAAGAAATCTGCTTAGAGTATACTGAAATGGAATTTATGTTCTAAGCATCTTTATCGTCGATGCGCACGTGGTAATATATAATTTTACTGAGGATAAAAGCTGTGCATCTGTAGATAGTCAATGCTTCAGTGTTGTGTTTATTATCTCAATCTGCACGCAAGACAGTCAACTCTTTTGATTATCTTATCGACCAAAATCTTGGATTAAAAATATGATAGACTTTACTGCGTTTTTGATTTACGTATCTATATGTTTATATGTTCACCTTTGGGAAATCGACAGAATAAATAGTTTGCTTTTGCTATAAACTCAAAAATCATGACATAATTTTATCTTGCGGCAAATATATCAGCATACTTTTTTCCAAAGAACGCCGTCGAATAAGAGCCCAAATCTGCCGCCCTCCAGTTTTCGATCTGAGTTATCTAGGAAGATAGAGCTTGAAATTCTGCCTCGTTTAGTCCATCAGACACGGTTTCAAGTAAGTGTCTACTGAGACCCCGTGGGTCGAATAGTATTGGCTGGTAAGTGCATTTTCTTCATCGGTCACTACTAACTCGCCTACCAATTCTTTTTGTCTTTCCTTGCATCTTTATCAAAGGTAATTTCCTATTTAATTACAGTTTTCAATTATCTACGAAACGTGATATAACGTACCCTCTGAGGTAGCTTCTTGTTCGAAACACGTGGGGTGAATTATATTCAATGTGCGCGAGATACATCATTTGCGGTAGTTTTCAGACTTTTGTCCAGGCCCGTTCTCTTCGAATAAGCAATTAGTGCCAAGTGTCTTTGCAATAGAAAACTGCCCCAACTCGAGCGCTACAATCCTATCTAGTTTTGAGGCAAATCTATTCTGTCCAAGGGTTCCGTCTCTCTGAAAGTCCAGCTGACATATGCTGTTTTGACATAGGGAAAGCGATGATTTTCAATCATCTCGTCCTCAATCTCGCGTCAATTCGATGTTTCTTTTTGTAGCTTTGTCAATAGTGCGCATTTAGTATTTCTGGAAATCTTTTACATAACGGTATTCTTTCATATTTGTCATACCTTTTCTAAAGTATATGACTGCACATTCCTCCATTCGATACGTCTCCATACGTTGCGTGCAAATATGTTCCTACACCTCATACGTCTCTATACAGATGAAAGAAAAAACGTCTGGATCGGGCCAGATAAATTTCACTAGTTCGATGTCTGACATAGAAATGTCAGGTGATGTATGGAGAGGCAGGAAGTGCATTTATTATTCTAAGTAAAAATCATCTAAATTTCAGTTAATAACAGGCACATGGTATCCATGAGGTCGAGATATCGTTGGTTTTATGCGATCTACATCGTCGCTCAGTTACTCCACACTGCTGGCTAGTTAAAATCATCATTTCCTTGATATTACAGTTGTTTCGAAGTAAAGATACTTTGTCAATGGATCTATTTGTAGAACGTTGATATTTGTTTTGAGCTATAAGGGGGTGAAAGAATTACATTTTAGCTCGTTTTCAACCATAACTTTGTATAGGGATGTTCGGTTCTCGTCTCCGCATGAGTAACGGGGCCCGCGGTTCTCTTATTTTTGGTTCTTCATCGGGAATCGGAACCGCGATTTTTTAGACGGTTATTTTTTTCGGAATCGAAACTTTTTAACCACAGATACTACAGTTTTATTTCGAGAAAACTATATTTAGCGTTCTTAAGACCTACTTGAGGCTAACTTCTTCTACATGAGATAGAAGAAAGTTGTTCTAAAGATTTTTACCCATTGAAAGCTATATTTGTGTATTAGCGATTGAGAGAGAGAGATAAGGATAGAACAAAAAGAAGCAAAGCACAAAAGAACACTACACAGTTGATAGAATCGAACACTTGAACTTTGAATTCAAATGCAAAGAATTTACTTTTGGACTAAATTGTCCAAAAGTAAACTCTGAGGTGTTCTCATCCTCATCCTGTGCATTGCTATAGTGTGTTCTACTCTCGGTGCTCAAGCCATACAGCTTATATCCTTGATCGGCGACCAAAGCCTGCATACTCTGTCAGAGAACTGCTAGTAACAAAAAAATAAAGCTGCGAAGGATTAATAACCTTGCAGCTTGCTCGCAGTTGTTATAGTTTATCTTTTAAAAACATACCGAATTTTACTGCGTCACGTTTCATGTTTCCTCTGTTATGTAAAAGATTTCCAGCTACAAAAAGATATATTTGCCTGTTATCATTTAAAAGAATCCTTTCGTTAAAATGAAATATATTCCATTGAATTGTTACTGTCTAATAATTTCTTCTCCGGTTCTAAGCTGAGAACCGTGATTGTAATTCTTTTCATTTCGGTTCTAACTCGAGAATCGAACATCCGTAGTTGTGTCCAATATATTTTGAGGTACATGAGAAGAAGATTATTTGTATTATTTAGGTATCCATGACTCTTTGCAACGGAAAACAAGTAAATTTCTGTTAGTAGTACTTAGTGTGAAAATGAATCATAGTTAACTGAAGTATTAAAATAAACCAAATTTCGACCGATTATAGTGCAAAGACTTCATATGTCTGATTCAATCTAGAATGATTTAATGCTAATTGTTTAGAATGACACAATTATTCTCGCCATCTTACTGCCAATATTCCACACCACAACACGGAATGACATCACCCTGTGAACAGTACGTGTCCGATACTAGCAATGATATGTTTCAGTATCATCGACAATTATCAACAACACCATTTTTTTATCCGCCCCGTTTATTGTACAACCAATCACAGCAACCAAACTTAGTCTCATGTACTATTCCCAATACCACTCGAATGCCAGTTCGACTGGCTCATCAAACGTCACTAACCGATTGTACGTCAAATAATACGAATAATTCAGTTATTAATTTATCTAAGAAACGGCTAGAGCCCACAGCTGAGTTTGTATATTGGAACACAAATGAAATAACAGTAAAACAACAACAGTCTTCGAAGAAGAATGGTGAATTAATATTTTTACCAACACAGATTAAAAAAGAATCATGTGAACCAATAGTATATGACAGTTCCAAAGAGGAACTGGTATTAAATGGACGCGAGATCATCAAAAACGACAGCAAAAATCGAGTTAAGATAGAATCCTTAGATGCAAATGGAATAGCCAAACAACCACAACAGCAGCAACAAATTACAAGAAAAGAAACTCGAGATAATCTAGAAAATCTGTCCAATTGTCAAAAAATAATTCAACAAGAAGAGGAGCAAACGGAACGAAGTTCATCGATATCAATGCTAATGAATAATGAGAGCAAACAACGACAAAAACAAGATCATCTGATCAGAAAAAGTAGGACAAAAGTTTTAGATTCTTCTAGTTGTCTCATTCCACAACTCAAGAACTCTAAATTTGTTCTTCAATTTCTAAAAAAATGATTTTTTTCGTTGTTTGAAAAATTGAAAAACAAATTTAGAGTTCTTGAGAGCTGAAGAACGGAATTTAAGTTCTCTATTTTGGACAAATGAAGAACAAAATTCCCGTTGACTTTTCAATTCCCTGAAAACCGGAGAAACACAGTTTTTTAACAGTGTAGAAATCTCAGTGTCTAATTAAAGTAAAGTCAAATTGATCAAAGTCGATTTCCAGATAATCATTACCATGCGAGATTTAGAGAGTTAAATTTAGATGTAAACACAAGTTCTGTTAACTCTGAATTCTCAAAAATCTCTTAATGATAATACGAATTCAACTACACCTCGCTACGTTTGCATAACATTGATTGTTGTGAAATCTAAATTATTATGCTACTGTTACATTTTCAATTAGAAATTCAATTGTGTAACAGTTGAGAGAATCAAGTAGTTTTTGCATTATTGTACTAATAATGTGATTCTAAAACAGTTGGATTCAATCATTTGTTTGCGTCCACTAAGTTTTTAATCCGAAAATAATTTTTTGATTTGTATATACAAAAATACATGAATTAAGTTTCATATTCAGATTCGTCTTCCTGACTGATGACTAAATGGATTAAAGAAATACTAGAGTAGAAGTAAGATTTAAAGGACGTTATTCATCATATGTGGCACTTGGTGTATAATCTAAATAGATTTAAGATTGAGTTTTATGAAGATTTGTATATCTATTCTTTTCGTCTAGATACTTTTGAGTAAAACTTTGGTCCAGACGTTCTCCAAAAAGTTTTCGGAAGCCCTGTTGAAGACTCCTACTTCAACAAGGTGTGACAACAGCTTTTGTGAACTTACGGAGAAGTTTTTTTCACAGAGTACACAATGCTTCTTTCCATTAAAAATTAGATTTTTTAGATACTGTCAGTCTAGACAACTTCTGACAGTAAGCCAGTAGTAATATCGACATTGAAAGTTGTTCAAAAATTCGTACTAGTAAAACAAAACGGTGGATACTTTTTTGAGAAATGGAAAATAGAACACGTAAATTCAGATACTCATTGGGGATTTCAAGGTGAATTAAAAATTTTTTTCCTCTTTTTAGGAAGATTTCTTTCTAAAATGGGGAATTTTCTGGTGATTTTTTTGGAGAGTCTTCGGCGGCTTCTTGAGAAGTGTCGTCGACTATGATTTTATTCTTTTCTATTTATCCATCATAATTTTCTTTTTCTTTTCTTTGCTACATATACATACACGCTGGAATTACAAAATGCCCTTATTCAGAAGAGCACGATGACTTTCGACTATACACTACATAGATATTCAATTACATCAACCGTCTTTTTCTTTATCGGTTAGATATGTATGTTACGTGTTGTTTAACAGTAGACGATGAAAAAAAAGATATGATGGTCAACGTAGATTTATGTAAAATAGTAAACTGTTCTATTTAATACGAAAAAGAAATTTTGTTTTTGTTCTCTTGGTTTGCTGCTGCTGTTCGAGTTATTTGTTTATTTCTTTTTCAGGGCTCGTTATCTTACTGATCCCTTACAAACAATTTTATTCTTTTGTCTAGTTATCTATATTTGAAAAAAAAACGCATGAAGTATTGAAGTACAAAAAATGAAGTAAAAAAAATTAGAAAAATGCACGATTCATGTCGCTTCCTTTTCTTTTCATATGGCCACAAGAAGGAAAGAAAAAGCACAATTTCATACACGCATTTGGATTTTCTTTTTTTTGTTATTATTGCGTTAGAATATTGTCGAAGTTTTACAATAAATGAGTTCGAGCGAAGTAAAAGACACTATTTTCTTCATTCATATTTGTTTAAGTATTTTATGTGAGTTTTTGAGTAGTTATAGATGTTTTTTTACGCCACATGGCGCAAGCACGCATTATGTACACCATCACTCAACTAACTATCAAGAGCGAAAAAGAAAAAAATGGGTGAAAAAGAACATGATAGACTATATATCTGTAGCCGTCTCTTTCTCTCTCTCTCTCTCTCTCTCTCTCTCTATATATATATATATATCTATATATATATGTGCGTGTGCGCCGAATTTTTTCTTTTTTCTCTTCTTCGTTCCTATTCTTTTGAAATATGACCTTAGATCACATCGTTCTTACTGGCAATAGCGTATAAAAACTATCATTATAATTTACAGAATAACAGAACAAAAACGGAGAACGTACATATACATAATTTATTTCATCTAAAATGTCTTAAATACTGAATTAAAACTAAAAATTCTAATTATATTCCCTATTCTTTTCGACTTTCGGCAAGTCTAATGTCATCAATGCCAAATAATACGTCGACATCAACAGATGACGAAGGAAAAGTCACGATAACCGATCTTAATCATATACAAATAAAACAACAACCATTCAGTCCTCCGTTTCTTCTTCATCATCAACATAATGGATCGTATAATGGGAACGAAGATGAACAACAACAACAATCGCGAAACGATGAGCAAACACATACGACTAATAAGCACACTGCTAATTCTAAAACAGGTCAGTACACATTACGAGTACTGTGTAACTAAGGGTCTCTTCTACAATAAAAATCGAAATAAATCTGTTATAGTATTCTAAAACTTAAACTATTCAAACCTGGGAATCTGATCACTCCTACTCTAATAATATTGCAACCTAGCCCTTTTACACCTCTTTTTTTGTAATTAACTTTGACATTGTTTATTGTGTTTTTAATTTGCTTATCTTTTCTTTTCGTAACGCTCTGACGATCATTATAATACATAGAATAAGTAAGAGAGAAAGACATAGTGTAGTTTACATCGATTCAACAATTTTTTATATTACTTTGACAATGAAATATGAATGACTTGTGTATATGCTAGGTTTTTGAGAAAATAATATGGATATTTGTTAAACAATGACAGCCTGTTATTATTTTGGTCACGTGACCAAAGGCACATCATGCATGAATAAAAACAAATTCGAGTCTCTTTTTTTTTTGACGAAGTATAAACTTTACTATATTTGTCTTCTGTAGCTAGATTATCCATTAATATGGCATTAAGTCCTGCTAATATCTTACATTACTAGGTTTATTATATTTATTTTGTTTGTATAAGAAAAACAAAGAGAAAAATGTTTCCTTAACCAATAATTACTTTCTTCTGTCCGTTTTGTATAGTAGCGAAATATGTAAAACGAGTTTGAATATATCATCATTATTATCATTTTCAAGTGTAAACCCTGAATTTTTACATAAGTTACTGAGTACAGAGAGAACAGTGAACCGATTGACCTTGACAAAACGGCTATAAAAACTTATATTACATAAAGCATTGTTATACTGTTGTTGTGTTCATTTTAGTGGCGCCTATTCATATCTCGCTCTCTTTTCTCTACCTCCTTTCTAATCATATTTCTATCTTTATCCGACCGACGCTTGAGTGAGCTCAAACGCGGTTGTACTATCTCTGACAGTGCTGAATTTTGTCCCTTCTCTCTATCGTTCTGAAAAATCTTTTCTTCACCCCTCTTTCGTCTTTAACGAGGCAGATATATGGCGCATGGTCTTCTTCATGCCATCTCTCCATCAGTAACTGTTGGATCCAAATTCATCGTTAGAAATGACAAGATCTCGAAAGCATTGGAGAGAAATATTTTGTACTTAATAAAGCGAAAGTCCTTAACAAGAATTTGAATATTATAAAAAGGAATTTGTGCGATAATGAATTATCATTTAGTTTGATATGAACATCACTGAGTAGCATCACATTAATAATTACCGACTTCGACGTTATTTTGATTTGACTAAGCAGACGATCGTTGCTCTGCCGGTTTATAATTATTTTGACGATGGTTAGACTAGTTTTTTTGTTGTTATTGATACGATTGATTAGTACGTCTGTTGTTGACGATTTTTATTATTGCAACAATTAGACGGGTGCTTCGAATAATTTTCATCTTTACAGAAGATATCTTAGCAAAGTTAGACGAACGAACTGATAAGTCATTGAAAAAAAATGCTAAGAAGTGGTAAGCAAATCGCTGTTTATCGTCAGTGTTGTTTTGAACCGACATACCAAATGGATAGATGGTGCATTGCAAAAATTGGTGCCAGAATAAATCTGAACGAAATGGGAGAAATTTTTCTATCGTTTATATTTCGATGGGTGACAAGTTCTTGATGATGATGTTTTTCGTTGGTTTTTTTTGCTCGACATTTTCGTTTAGTTTATCAGGACGTTTGGTGATCTCATCTTATTTATCAGCGATAACAGTTATTCTATTTTTGATTTTGTCGATCTTGGTAGTTAGCATCTGTAAGTGACGAAATAAATACCTACGTTTTGATCTGGTGAACATGCAGAATAGATCCAAAATTAATACTGATTTTTGTTCACTAGTGGTTACCGTCTATGCTCCTGGTGAAACATTTATACATCCAACAAGGAAACTTTTCTCATATGCATCAAATTGTAAATCGTTATAGTCATCATTTACGATAACATTATACGGACTACGTTGTGTGTTGATGGGAATGCTTTGTCGAGCATTGGTGTTACCACTGCTTTTAAACGTATAACAAGAGATGATAAGATAATGAAGAACGAATACTAAGTAATAGTTAGGCAGTATCTAGAAACTCAACTGTTTCGCCTCCTTAAATTATGTATAGTAAATGAACCGCTCTCATCCACCTTCCCCATGTTTTTCCAACCGTTTCTGTGTAATATTTGTATGATGTAAAAAATCGTAAAATAATTAGAATTTTATATTCTCTTCTTGTTTTAAGCATAGTTATCGTCTTTCATCAGTAAAATAAAACAAATAAAAGTAATATTTTAAACTTTTTAAGTATGATGAACTCGTTTTCAATGAATGATAATGCAACGGTTTGTAAAGTAGAAAATAAGTAACTTTATTTTTCAGATTTCGACGTACATTTTTGTGATAATTGTAAACATGATATCTGCTAAAACAAACTCTTGTTCTAGTAATTATGATACGAGTTGTTTGTTAATCAAATCTAAATTACCAATGCTTTTTGTCTATTTTCTAGTTCCAGTTTCATCGGAAGATAAACGCCGCTGTGCTGTATGTAGCGATATAGCATCGGGTTATCATTATGGTGTATGGTCATGTGAAGGTTGGTACCAAAAATTATACTTAAAAAAAATTAAATCTTACACATTTCTTTGTATTTTTAAGGATGTAAAGCATTTTTCAAACGAAGTATTCAAGGTTTGTCTTCAAGAAGTACATGCTTTTCTGTAACATTCAACTTATCTTTAATTTAGGCGTTAATGAATATATCTGTCCCGCTACAAACACGTGTACAATCGACAAACATCGTAGGAAAAGTTGTCAAGCATGCCGATTGAGAAGGTGCTATGAAGTGGGAATGACAAAAGGAAGTAAGAGACATAGAAACTTTAATGTTTATTGATTTTTTAAATCTCTAATCTGTTTAGCAACAAGAAGGGAACGACGGTATAAACGAAAAGCAGTCTCCGTGTGCAAAATAAGTTCAACTAGTTCGACGCCAAATAATACAGCGAATGCTCAAGAACCGCAAGTGCCGCAGTCATCTGCTCTAATGGCACAGCCGCAAAAGCAGGTAGATGATAGTAAAACGGTATTAACATTTAAGATTATTTCACTAATTTTTTCTGTTTCAGATTTTACAAGAATCACGTATTAACAGTTCAGCCGAATTTATTACAATCTTATCTCAAGCTTCACGTTTAAATCTGCCAGCTAAAATAGATTTAACCATACAGTTAGATGATAAATATTTTTTACAATTATTAGCAAAAATTTTTGATCAAGAATTAGTTGTTTTAATCAATTGGGCAAAGACAGTACCTGGCTATACTGAAAGTTTAACGCTCGATCAACAAGTCACAATAATTGAACAATCTTGGCTTGATACCCTACTGTTGGGTATTATTGAACGATCCGTTGAACATAGTGACGATTCTTTGCATTTCGCACCTGATTTTACTATACCTCGGTAAGCGATCGATAGAACTATTTACGATTAATAATACATTTGTGTTTATTATTTCAGAACTCGTGAATTAAACAGCCCCACCCTTCAGTGTATATGTAGTAATCTATTTAATTTAGTACAAGCTTTCAAAGAACCTCGAACTACACATGAAGAATTTATTGCGCTCAAAGCAACGATACTAATTAATTCAGGTAGAGTGTTGTGTTTAGTTTTGTGAAAAATTGTATGTTAATTTTTTGTTTTTTAAGTACCATCGACAATCAGTTCAACAAAAGCACTTCGTACGCTAACAAATCAAGTGTATCAGTCAATTCAATATGCATCGGACAGTAATCCACATATCTATAATGAAAATTATATTCGACATTTTTTCCTTCTATTACAATTACCACATATAAAACTGCTTAGTAGTCGATTGATACGTTTATTTCTTGATATGAGAATATTAAATATGTTACCGCAAGCCGATTTACTTCTCGAGATGTTGGATGCACAGGAGATGATTGATATCAATAATTTATCATTAATAAATAACAATAATAGTGGTGGCGAGAGATGTAGTAGTCAGCAATCGTTTTCTAATACATCACCTAATCAACTAGACAATTTTAAACTTAATACACAAATGTCGTCGTACTCTGAATCTATTTCTTCATTTTCGGAACAACAACAGCAAGACGTTGCTGATATTAAAACGAACGATATTGATGATGAAGAAGATTGTAACGTAATACAAATGAACCGAAGTGAGTACATTAGATATGACACAATTTTGTTTTTCATCGTATTTACGACATAATTCGAGAGATATTCTATTTACTCTGTTTGGAAGCTTGTTCTAGTGTCGCGAAAGCATGTAATATAGTATCGTCCATATGATACAAATTTTGTCTTTTTTTTAAGATAACTCGTCTAATCAACTATCATCTTCGCAAATGATGTTGAATGCTAGTCGAAACGATTATTCTCATTCCCTGCCATCGTTAAATATTCAGACCCAAGGGTCATTCCAAACAGCAACATCATCCTCATCAAATCCTCTGGCAATGATTTATCCTCCACAACCGCGATCAACTCCAATCTCTGCTGCCAGTTTCTCTTCAACATCTTCATATCACTATTTTGATCAAAATACAAATCGTCTTTCATCACCACAAGATATTATTTATGATGCAACAACAATAACACAACAATCATCTGCACCATTACAACAAATACGAAAAGCTGCAAAATCATACAAACGTCAACGTCACGAAGATAATAGTGAATTTTAATGATGATTTAGATGTGCCATTGTGTAATTCGATATTACGATCAGTTTTTAGACTTGCGTTTCTTCTTTCTCTTTTTTTCTTCTTTTTTTGATGCGAAACCGGTCTCACTACACTTATTTATATTTTTCTATTACAAGCAAAGTCTAGAATATATTTTTCTACAATGACCCTCGCAACAAACTTTCTCTAACATGAATTATGATTTCTTTTACGGTCATAATGTGCCCCATTCCCATTGATATACACGAACGATATCCAATATTAACTTTGATATTTTATTTTATACTCGCAAAATATTGGAACGCTCAAGTGTGAAAATTAAATATATTCCGTTTCCATTTTCTTATTTGTACACGTTAGACAACAAAATTTATTTTTTGCTCAAAACAAACGAATAAAAACACCTTCTGACAACATTCTCAAGAATTCTCTTTTTTCCGTTTTCATTTTCTCAATTATTTACTAAACAGTATTGTTTTTTGTTGATTTGTTCACTGAATCAGATTCATTTGTTTTAAAACGTTTCTGTTTGAGAATAGCAACAGCAGAGAGTATAAAGCAATTCTCATTTTTTTATATTTAAGATAATAACTAAACTAATATGTTGTGTGTTATTTCTGATGTTTTTCTAATCCCGGTTGTTGTTGTTTTCAATAATATTCTGGATGTTTCATGTTCTCTAATAACTCGTTGTTCTCATTTGTTCTGATCTCGTTCCAGTATACTGTTTTTGATATTGTTAATTTCTTTTGTCCTTTTTTCTTTTATTAAACAGCTTTTGTTTTTGAGACTGCAGCATCTTTTCTGCACTTTACTTGTTCTATCTTGTCCTTTATTTTTTTAATCAATTTTTTTTCCTTATCGTTGTTGCTGTTGTTATTGATGTACAAATAATAAAAAACAAAAAGTTTAAGAAAAACGCCTGAAAAACTGTTCTTCATCAGATAATGATACTTTAATAGAATTTTATCAAACTCCACTGAGGTGTAAGAGATTTTGAAATAAAACTTATGATATTTGTTCGATTAATTTGGTTATTTCTGTAACTTGTACAGAAAAACACTGTTGAGATATATACAAAAATCTTTCTTCTATCTGTTCTTTTTTTCACTATTGTCTCGACAGATTTAAACATTACAAATAAGAGAAATGTTGTGAAAAAATTTCATAATTTGAGATGCTTTGGTTACCAAAACAAATTACTACTTAAACGGACCTATTGTTTGTTTCTAATGAACATCGTGATTTGTTGGGCCTATCTCGATAGCTAGAAGAAATTTTGAGATTATTCTCCACTGGTGAACAACATTTTGATATAGCCTCGTAATCTGAAGAACAATCTTAAACATGTTTCTCGTGCAATAACTTTGAAATGTTGAGTAAATTATAGATAGAATACTCATACATTTGTTGAGTGATAGCACTTTCGTCACGTTAATTTTCGTCACATAGGAAAAAAAAAACGTGACGAAAGTGCGTGGCATTTTTGGGGGCGCACCACCCCACACTTTGGTCACAAAAGTGGTGAGCTTTCGTAACCACCTGTGTAACATACCTACAACTATCGTCATATCCCGTCGTAAACTTTTGTCACACTAATAACATAACGGCAAATAACATATGACGAAATTTCATGTGCACAGCAGCGCTTTATTTTACCGTTTTTCTCACGTTTATATACTATTCTTATTGACTGTAAAAGCATTGCTTGCGTTTGGACTACTTCAGACCGAATCATTCCCACTGCTGCAGTGCGCACTACTCCAAACCGAAATACTCCCAAACGCAATAGACGCCTGATTTTGATACTTTGACTTTAGAAAAAGACTTCAAAAGGGTTTTTTACTTGTTTTGCTAAGAAAATGCAATGCTTGTAAAGGAAAAAGCAAGAAGTTATTACTCCAGTTTGTACCTCTACAGTTTGGACTACTGCACTTTGGACTACAGCCTTGATTTCATCGCAGCCGTTTCATGCAACGTGTGACGAAGTGTCGTATCACGTGTCTAAAAAAGCAGACACTTACAAAAGGCGTTAACTTTCATAACCATGTTACATGTGTAAACATAGATAAACTTTCGTCACAGTGTTACCCGATAACGAAAGGGTATGGTGATGAAATTGCTGTCAAACCATTTGTATTTTAGCAGTATTTTATAAACTTGTTGATAATTTTGTTATTGTTTATGATTTGAGCGAAACGATGACAATGAAAATAAGAACATAACGGCTAATCAACAAGCAAAACAAATAATACAAAAAGATCTTCACCTAGAATCTCTAGAAGATGGTTCGATTTCTAAGATATTACTGTTATTAACAGTCATAGCATAAAATCTTCAACTATTATGTTGATTCAACAAATATCTAGTAGTATTTGAGTTTAATTCATTTCAAGGTGCTTTTATTTGTTTATGTCTCGATTAAATAAGAACTAAAATAGTTTGCCACAAAAACTGCTAGTATAAACATAGAAAATAAAATAAAAGAAAGTATGATCTCACAAGGACTTAATAGTACAAAATAATGTTTTTACGATTGATATTGTGCTCCAGCAGCCACATTTCTTCCTCGTAACCGATCAATTGTATCAAAAAATGTAGCAACACGATTTTTCAGCACTCGTTCAAGTAGAAAAATGAGTGGCTTAGCCAGAAAATGAAATATGCCTAATTTTTTATATATCAATCGACTAGTATAAAAAATGACGACCTGATTGATAACAGCATCAAAGGCCACATTTCTACTTGGTAATTCTTGTGGATTTTGCTTGTAATATTGACCATCGAAACGAGCCATTCGATACATTTCTGAGCCGATTGTGAAAACAGTTAGTAAATCTTGGGAAACTGATTTGACAAAGTGCATAACACCGGCAATCAATCCCACTAAAATAGCTAATGGTATCCCGACAGTAAAAAAATGAATGATACGTTGGCCAAATGAACGTTTTGGACGTTGTGGTGGTGCTTCTGGTGGTGGAGATGTAACTGGAGTATTTGAGTTCAAATGTGAAAGTATATTTGATATATTTATTTCTTCGTTTTCGATAAATAAAGACCTAGCAGCAATTTTAAGGGCTGGACGAACTAACGAAAATAATGCAAATTTAACTGATGTTAAACGATCAAGTGAATCTACCAACGCTCTCTGACAATATGGTGTTAAATCGAAACGATTATTCACCATACGCGCGTAAGGACCCGTAGCTAAAATAAAAGAGAAAAGTAACTAGTTTTTAAATAATGTTGAAATTATTATTGACATGGTAGAAAGGACTTGTCTATCATTATTTCTGGATACAAAACTTTTAACTTACTTGAAACCATCGATATAGTATAATTAATAGGTCAATAATACTAAAACGTACAAAAAATTCATCCAACAATATATAAAACGAAAGATGTACATGGCGAAAAGTTCAAATGAATTCTAGATCTCTTCATATTTCATGCGGTTAAAGTGAGAAGGTACCCAAATGAAAAATCGCTTTTCTGATGAAAAACAATTGTAAATAATCTTCTCGATAACTGAAATTGGGAGCGTGAGAACAATTTCGTAATATAATTTGTTTACGGTTTAATGATACATGGAATTTCGAAAGTAGTCTTGCTTCCAAAAACGATCTTTAGATCTAAGAAATTTAGTGACACGTATACCTCAACATGCTCTAGAGTCTGATCGTATCAAAATCTGTTCATTCGAGAGTAGAAGATGATTTCTTAAATACTCAGTATCCAAAAGACAAGATCAAGAAGACTAACAGTAGAAGCAGATATCAAGTTCGTGGTCAGCATTAAAATTATTCATAATTGTGTTCTATTAAGAGATCGATTTGCCGTTTGGAGTTCTTCCATCTTTAATTACATAAAAACGTCATGTGAGAGAAGTTAGGTCCTATATTCTATAATAAGATCTGCTGATCAAATGTTGTGTGTGCATTATTGTATTTAATTTTTTTTCAGAGACTGGCTATCGCTATAAATTTGATATTTGATTTAACGCCTGTTTTCTTAAACGGTCGATGTATGTATATCCATCATCTATAAATGGCTCGAAACAACGTGCACCCTTTTCACTTTCAGCAATCTATAATATTACTTAAAATGATCTTTTCAATCAAACAGTAGTTCGATATGTGTTTGTTCCGTTTTATTGTCATCTTCTATCTATTCGATGATCATAACAGGCCATCAACCCTCACTATTCACCCTATTATTCACATGTTCTATGTGAGTATAGAGTACAATATTTGTTTTGAAAAATAAAGCGATTAATAAAGGCTTTCTTTCTTCTAAGCAACATCTGTTAGAGCATCTATAAAAGAAAATCAAACTCATTGTACATATATTGACAGACTAAATTATTCTAGATCCAGAAAGCTGTCACATCTTGCTTCAAGTTTAATTTTTGAAAAATTTTATCTAGGGCCATGTTTTTAATCAAATACTTCATTCCACAAAATGACAGAAAACATGAACAGAGATAGGGCAAAAAGATTACAAAAAAATAAAGCATTTTTTCAAAATAAACGTTCTCAGTTATATCTGACAATTTAGCTCAATATTTCCCAAAACGCAGAAGCATAAGAAAAAGTATAATTTCTGTCGACAAAGAAGGCGAAATACGTTTGATTAGTCATTTATATAATTAATGATTCACACAAAATGTCTATTAAAATATGGACTTCGTACTCGTTCATTTTGACATCTACTTAATCGATCTTTTGGCTGGTTTTTAGGGACGAAAGGATATACAACCGATCGATAACCATCAATGTTTTCACCGATTAGATAGATACAAGTATAATGATTAGAAAAAGGTGGTGAATAGAGACCTACCTGGATTAAGAAAACGAAACCCTATCTGATCCACCCACCTTGTGTGCAAGGAAAGCAATCATTAATCGGCTTTGTGAATACAGTTATTTTGAAATAAGTATTTCAACTGGAAACGCTAGTAGAGATCACTTTCAAGTCAAAGCGTAATACAAAATTGAAATTATTATCTATGGTAATACGTCACAAAAGGTTCAACCCAAACTTAACCTCACTCTAGGGTCGGATCGAGTAGCAGGTCTCTAGTAGTGAAGAATAGGCAACTCAGGATTCGCCAGCACACCGTATGCATTGCATGAGAATGAGGGATATCGCGCCAGGTATCGAGATGATAAACGTAATATTATCGATGGTTCTGGCGAATAACAATATCGAGGTGATGTACAAGATCTACACCGGTATAAAAGCGGTGGAAGATGATCATGGTTGGTTGCAAATAGAGCAGGGCGTCTACACATAATAATCTATTAAAATCAATTGGTTAATGACGACGAACAATTTTATATTTTAAATTATTTATTTGTTTTTCGTATATATTTCCAACACCTTTGAAAGATCAACTACTTCATAAGGCGCCAAAAAGCCAATTTCAGCACTATTTTTGTCCGCTTATTTATACACGATAGAGCTCGCCGAGGTGAGTAAAACAAATTAATTTTAATTTTTTAAAAAATGTTGTTAAGGGAGAAAATTTAAAAATACGGAAATACTCAAATTTGTTAGAAAATGCTAGCTTTAAAAAAAAAGTAAAATTTCCGCCTTTTTTGTTCTATTAAAATCCCAAAACTACTTTTTCCGGATTCAACGAATATCACATTGGTATTGCAGAAAAATTTTCTCTGAAAAATATTTAAAAAAAAATTAAGACCAACCTTTCTTACTCGGTCTCAGCTCGCTCCATTATATATAAATAAGCGGAAAAAAATAGCGCTGATATTTTAAACAAAAACAGCACGTTTGTTTACAGAATCGACAACAGTCATAAAGGATACAGCATTAGTCAAATTATGGAAGAATAACAGAAAGTTGAATTCGATGTCGAATTTCTGATGGAGCTAATTCAAAGACACGATTCAATGCTCCTGACTTGAATCATCAGACAAGAACAACGAAGAGAAGAAATGATAAAAAGAGAGACGTTATTTAGGTGTAACTGGTATAAATAAATGGAAACGGGTTGGAAGAAAAAGAAAACCAAGAGCAGTTAAAGACATAAGGCTAGTTGAAGACCGCCTTGAAACAGAATTTATACAACCATGACCATGCGAAAAGTCGTGGGGATTAGAAAAAGAGAGAAGAACAATTGAGAAAACATCATTAGCAAACAGACATGTTGCACAATTAGAAGGAAGAGAAAGAAAATCGGTAATGGAAGTAGGAAATAAAAAAGGTCTACGCACACTACCTTGTAGTACACCAGAAGAAGAAATACAATGATTCATACGCACACACTACAAACGGTAGGAGAAGTAAAATGGAAGAACAGAAAATAAACAACCAGTCACACGATAATGAGACAGTTTTTCAATAGAAAAGAACAAGAACAGAGTCAAAAGTTTTAGACTTTATGCATTTCAGACGGTACCAGAAAATTAAAGGTTAAAGTCACCACATACGACAAGACTAGGAGAGAGAGAAGAATATTTACAAACAAAATTTTCAAGAACATCAAGAAAGAATCAACAGGAACAGATTGAGAACGATAGCAATTAAATAAGAGAAAGTTAACGGAAAGAGATTGTACATGAATTAAGACCACTTCAATAGTGTCAGAAAAAGCGAATATAAAAAACTGTAACGTGGAGGAGATATACGATGTGGTACCTCTCCCACGTCAATTTCGATCATGGCGAAGGAGATAATAACCAAAATGAACCATCTCATCACCAGTGATTGTTGCGTCGAGATTCGTCTCCAAAATGATAAGGTATGAAGTAACTAAAAGAGAAAAATGTTTGTCTTTAAGGAGAGTAAAATTCTTCTTAAGGATTTGGATGTTATGAGGATAAATACAAAGTGTACGCGTCAATAGATCAAAGTATTTGGCGAAAGTCGCGTCATGTCATAAATTGTTGTTGAGTCTTGGAAAAGAGAAGTTTGCTGACGCTTTCTTTTTGAACGAACAGAACAAGGTAGTTTAATACTAAGACTATTTATATTATGAATATTACTGATATTTGCATTATAGCAACCATGTGCGTCTTTTCCTCTGCTCTTAGAAATGTGTCGTTTTCTGTAACGATTTTCTCAAGAATTAGAAGTACTGTGTCAAAAGTTGAAAAGCGAGTACAGAGTCTTATGGCTGACTGTGGGTATGTCTCTTTTTCAGGCTTTCTGGATGTATTGTCTCTTTGCTGGAACATCCGAAAGCAGGTCGATTGAAAATCAGAGACAAATTTTTTAACAAGACGATAATTGATCAGAGTATACAGAAGCGATGTTCATTATAGTGCAATGTGTCTTTTTTCACAGCTGATCTCAAATGCCGTGTTATTCACTTTATTACCTATATATGTGATTGCTACTATGAATGAGTCATTAGTATACTACAACCTTTATATGCACTACTTTATTATAAATATGCAGTAAAACCAGTAATGCAAACGTTTCGCTTCACACCACATCAGCAAGTCTCACACAACATGATTTCCGTCTAGTTATTATTATTGTTATTGATGACTTGATTATCACTACTAGAAAACCAACCATCCTAACTATCTATGTATTCTGTAATTCTCAGCAAAACGAGCTTCCCCTAAAATTTGACCGAACAACAACAGTTTAGTAGCGATACATTATAACGACAGGATCCCATCAGATACAATCATAGTAAGCAGATTCTCCAGTGTTTCTATGAACGTGTATGCCGTGCTTTCTGCCTTCAGTGCTACGAATTTTTGATTACGCTCATTACACCCTAAATGATTGTTATAATTATTCCTAAAAAAGGACCTATACTATCATTCTGCCGCATGCTGCACGCAGTGAGCACCGTCGCTTAGTGAAGAGTCAATTTTACTCGAAACACTGTCTAATCGAAGTGAGGTATGGATGTCGATACTAAATTTCGACAACTATCTCTGATTACACCGGATACTAACGACGTTTTTCTCTTTTTTTCAGAAAATATTCAACACAAGACATGACTGAAATATCTACTTGTGCAGACAGAGAAAATGCTAAGAAAACTTTTTCTATAGTCCGATGATAGATATCGCCAGAAATCTGCCAATTCTGATAGCAGAAAAAAGTCATCTACGGATAATAAAAATGACGGAATATAGATAGTCTATCACAGCAAATCGATCAGAAATACTTCCGACCACCCAGAGCCGTTTTAAGAAATTTGTGGCCCCTGTGCTGATCATTAACGTTTTCAACACATCAATTTGTATTTTTTTAATAATAACAAAATGCAAGGCTTAAGCCGTTCGATTGGGCCCCTGAGTCAGCCGGGCCCCTCTGCTATAGCACAATTAGCACATAGGATCAGAAGGCACTGCGACCACCTTGGGATCTTCAGAGAGTGTCCAGAAAACGTTTTAGGTTTATGTTACACTGCTTTTTTTCCTGAAATCAGAGATCAAGAAGTTCACATCAGTACAGCATTCCTCACATGTAATCGGAGTATATAGACATTGGCTGAATTTTTATTCAACGAAAAGAGAGAGAAAGGATCGGAAAAAATATTATTTTCATCGGCGAGTATGTGTAGTATATAACTACTTTCAATGAGTATACATTCTGTTTTCTCCTTCATATTTAACAAATTTGTCGTGCGCAATGTCGTCGTCTGCAACAAAAACAACTTGGGTAGCTGATATTAACAAGAACGAATTCGTCCGAAAACGTGCGTGCATTTGTCTAGAATTCTCTATATTAAAATAAACAACCTTTTTCCCTCTAGTGAATGTCTTTTACGATAGGTACTCGAGTACTTTCATTTTTCATTTACATGCATATTCACTAAGGTCATTGGGTACGGTACCCAATGACCCTAGTGAATATACTTGTACATAAAAAATGTGGGAAGTTAAGTGATACCCTCAATCACTTATCGAAACTTTCCAGATCATTTATACTGGTCTGCGGTCCGGTCTGTAACAGTCATGCAACAAACGGCTCGCTGGTGGCGTAAACGTAACATGAAGACGGTCCGATAACGTAATTCATGCGGAAATTTTAATATATAAAACGATACGTACACGCGTGAATATCATGAAATGAACTGCCGGGTGTTCCATAATAATTGGCCCTCTCAGTATTTTGGCTATAACTTTTTTCTTCTCAACTTTTAGATCTGATTGTTTTTCCAAAAGATACGCTTTCAAATTCGAAAACTAAAAAGCTGGCTCAAAAACCCTCCTTAATGTACGACTAAATCGACGTTTTTTGATGGTTTTTAATGAAAGTGGCTATTTAGACGGTTTTCTACGTCTAAAACATCAAAATCGTTTGGTATAGTTACAAAATGAAACGAATAATCTGAAGTCCGGTGATAAATGTCGTTAGAAATCAGCCAATTCTGATAACAGAAAAAAAGTCATCTACGGATAATATAGATAGTCTATCATAGCAAATCGATCAGAAATACTTCAGGCCCTCTTGGGATCTTCAGAGAGTGTCCAGAAAACGTTTTAGCTTTATCATCTGAACCTCTTCGTCTTTTTTTCCACCATGCTGGTTTGAAGGCTTGTTTGCTTAACTTTTCTTTATTAGATGAAAAACTTATATTTAACGATAATTTATTACTGAAAAGGTCTCAAAAATGGTAAAACCATTGGGTTTTCAAGAAACCTCCGTAACTTTTTTGGAAGAGAGATAGTCGACTGGGGTTTTCAGCTTTGAATTCGTTGACTCTTGTTCTATCTAATCATGTATCATTCATAAAGTTTCTACGAAAATTAGATGTGTGACTGAAGAATAATATCCATAACACTAAAAAAGATGAGCAATAAAAAGTCTCGAATTCGATTTTTTAGTTTTTTGGACATTTCTCTTGACCGAGAAGTCGCAGAAGGCTTGAAAATGTCTCACTTTGTTCAAAATTCGATTTTTCTATCGTTCTAGACCATTTTCAAAAAGTCTGGTTGCTGAGAACGTTATCTGGAGATCCGGTCTCTGGAAAACCCTCTGAATGGTTTTGAAAATTTTAAAAATGTTTCTATTGAATTCACCATCGTTTCACGCCTATTCGACGCTATTTTCATTAAATTTGGTCGAAAAAATCGTGACTTCGTCAGAAATCGCCTTGCCGCTTTGTATAGTGGAAAAAAGTCTGCTGCAAAGAAAGCAAAATGGAAAAATATAAGCATATAACTTTGTTACCCGCCCGATGCTCTATCTAACCATGTATGACAGAAGGGTCTAGTACTTCATACAAAAAGCTAGTAGAGATTGGAATGTGAAGGTGTCATTTTTAGGTCTCTTCTGTTGGAAAATCAGCTACCAGGCATGGGCGAGTCCGGTAATTTTTTAGATTCTTTTTTTGATGAGTGTGGTTTATTTCTCTTTTATAATTTACTGAGCCCTGGATAGATATTTGATTTGTCGAAATAAGATTACTTTGCATGTCTGCTTCCTGAACAAAATTTTCAATTTCTTGTAAAGCAAAAGATGTTATTATTTCGCTTTTCATTTTTCTCTGCTCATTTGTGTTGAAAGTTGAATAGCTCGGACTCGAAATACAAAACTCGAGTCCGAGCCCTTCAAAAAAATCTCGAGTCGGAGTCCGCCCAAAACTCTTCCGGCCCCCATGCCTGTCGGCCCCACATCTAATTTTCATAGAAACTCTATGAATGATACATGGTTAGATAGAGCAAGAGAGGAAGCTGAAAACCTCGGTCGTCTATCTCTCTTCCAAAAAAGTTACGGAGGTTTCTTGAAAAACCAATTGTTTTTGCGATTTTTGAGATCTTTTTAGTATTTTGCATTTTTCTCCATCAAAACTCGGTCTAAACTTAAGAAAAGGTGATATTCGTGATCACCGCGCTCTAACGAATCAGAATATGTATAACAAAGGCAAAAAAAATCCACTGCATTTTTGCATTAGCTGTACCTTAAAACTCAAAATAAATTCAAAATAATCAAACGGTTTTTAGACGATTTTTTACATCTGAATAACCCAAAATCGTTTTGATATTATTGTAAAAATTACAAACGTGCAAAATAATTTTTTGAACTTCTTTGTGTTCTCTGGCGGGAACGGCAGAAATAGTTCTATGGCAAAAATAGTTTTTTCTGTGTTGGGAATAGGAAAAGTAGTGCAAGAATAATAAGGAAACTTCTCTTGAGTTTTGAGTCTAACACAATAAAAGATTATTAACTTTCTTTAAATAAATTATCGCTAAATATAAGTTGTTCATATAATACAGAAAAGTTAAGCAAACAAGCCTTCAAGCCAACGTGATAGAAAAACAGACGAAGAGGTTCAGATGACTCGATAATGTCGTAGACTACGAACAGATTTGGCTTCTATCCCCTTTTTCTAGTGCATATTACTAAAGGTTGGATGCAGTTAGCTCATGCAAGAAAACCTTGGGTCTAAACGTTCTGCTTCAGAACAGCAACTCTTGAGTACAGTACGTGGTAAACTTCCATGCTAAACGTTAAGCACAAATTTATCGACATTCGCTTAAGTTGCTGCAAACTGCGAAAATTATGTTCGACTTCGATGGAATAAGCTCTCACCTTAAAACTAAAAGACGGTATCATATATGAACACAAAAATCAAATTAATAATCGAAAACTCTCGTTGGCCAATTGCACACAACTCTTGGTATGTGGATAACTCATCGTTTCAATAACACATTATGCACTTTGAATATATGTTAGGTAAATTGAAATTCATTGGGTGAATCTATTAAATTTAGTTAAGTTTTTAATTAGAAAATATTCCTGGGAAGCAGTAGTTTTCGAGATAAATCAGTTTTGCCGCAATGGTGGCGCTACTGTTAAGAAACTATTGCTTTCCAGAAAAAACCGAAAACGCCAAAAAATTTTCTAATTAAAAGCTTTACTAAGTTTTTTTATATTCATCCAATGAATTTCATTTTACGGAACATATCCATCCGCTAATGATTCCATTTTTTAATCGTACATCCGACAGTCCCTACACCGTCTGCTAAAACAAAGACGGCTCAGATCGAACAATATGGTACGTAAAAGGCCGTATTCGGCTAAATTACGTTGATTTTCGGCCTGGAAACGGTGACCGTATTACGGTTCAATTACGGTATAATACGGTGCCGTATACGGTGTTCGTTTACGGTGTAAATGCGCCGTATACGCGATATAACTAGGCTGTCCCAGGTGAAACTCATCTTACAAGATCTCACGAGATCTGCCATTTTCTTGTGAAATCTTGTAACAAGACCTTACTGCATGATCTTACAAGATCTTACAAGATCTTGTCATTGAGAGATGTGACTTATATTTATTTCTTATCGCAAGATCATACGATTTCTTGTTATAAGATCTTATATGATCTTGTAGGAATCGATGACTCATTCTTACCACATAAATTTTGCTATGATATTGAGTATATATATAGATAACATAGTTCTTATTGATAAAACTTAGAATCTTTTTCTTTCTTCGTCTTCAAACATCAGCTGAGCGCAAATAAAATGCATGGCTATAGGGAACGTGATTAAACACGATCCTAAGGATGTTTGTGTCCTACCTATGCCAGAAAATATTATAAATAGAGAAAGATATTTTTTTAAGAGGGTCTAAAGGAAATTTATAGAACACGATCAGACACATAATCTTATAAGATCTGATAAATTCTTACGTGATCTGACAATACAACTAATATTAATTGGACGAAAGCAAAGCCATAGTTCGAATAATTCCAGACCGTGAAGCGCCTATATACGGTAGAAATACGGTATGCTTACGGTCATTCACAGTGCACATAGGGCTATGATATGGGCTGAAATGGTACTAAGGACAAAAACAATTAAAAGATGGCAAAAACGCTATTTTTGAGGAAGAAAGTCGGAAATAACTTAACATATTATATCCTATGTTAACTTATTTAACATGTTCATAAAGGGGTCCGTTAACAGTGAAAAACAGATTGAAGAAACGACTATGTTTTTTGATCGTACAGCTGAGCGACTTAAAAACGGCCTCAGTTAGATGATATGAAAAGGACCTTGGCGGCCTAAAAACTGTCCGTTAACTTCCCGTTAATGACACAGATTTCATAGATCTAAGATCGAAAGAACATAGGTGTTTTTTACTAACAGCGCTTAACTATCTTCAACGGCTGTGCTTATTTGTTTAGCTACAACATTTCGAAATTGGATAAAGAGAGATGGTTCCACTGAATTTAAGCCTGAACTAAATCGTTACCATCTCTACGTGTCATATGCTTGTCCATGGGTAAGTAATTGCAGTATTTAATTTATTGAAAAAATTGTTTTTCTGCTTATTTTCAGGCACATCGTGCATTAGTTGTTCGAATATTAAAAGGACTTGAACATGTTATATCTTATTCTACAGTTCATTGGTTTCTCGAGGAAGGAGGCTGGAAGTTTACAAAAGAATATCCGGATCCACATCATTCTGAAGATTTTACTCACTTAAAAAATGTTTATACGTTGAGTGATCCAAATTATGACGGGAATATAACCGTGCCGGTTTTGTTCGATCTTAAAGTATCTATGAGTTATATTATTTCTTTTTGGTTTATACTACTGGCCATAAGTGTGTTTAAAGATTTTCCGATACAATCGTTTTAACTTTTAAATGATCTTTTCTGCTTTTTTCGAACAACGTTTAAAATTCGGCTCAGAAACAGCTACCGGAAAATTTCAACAACTACTCTGCAATGGTTAGATTATTTGTCAATAGTTTCGTCTGTTGAGTGGCTGAGGAGATCCATCAGTATTGGGCTTCCATTACTAAGAAACCTCAGAAAAATTAGAATCAAGTGTATACTACGCATCATTGTTTTATGGAGGTTTCGCTTTTCGGGTGGCGGTTGAAATTTTTGGATGGGCTGCTGGCCAAAAACGTTTTGCTAAGACGAAATCAGCTGTTTATTTCGAGTGGGCACCGCTCATCCGGTTCACTCACTAGATAAAATTTATCTAGTGAGTGCGTAGCAGTGATTTATCTGATAAATCACTGCTACGCATCCACCTCAGAATAATATCTAACGCATGTGTAACAACATCTGAAAGAAACATTAAGATACCTGAAATCTGTCGAAGTAATGATATTTTCCTGTTAAAAGACGTCAGGAAGAATATGTGCTTGATTTAATAGAAAAGTTCTGTCCTTAGATGGTAGAGGAAGTGAAAACTCAACTTCTATAATCTATTGTTTCCTTCGAACTTTGTATGTCATCTCTCGTATTAACAAATAAATAAATAAATTGACTGATTGATCTTCTCTGCAGTCCAACATATCGGCTTATGACCCGCATTTTGTTTGGACTATGTGTACACAAAATGTCAAGTTATAGGATCGATTTCAAATGTCTTTTGTGAGAAGTTACATACTTATGACTAGTACTGTATTTCATTTATCTTCTGGTTTAGACACAAAAAATTGTCAATAATGAATCATCTGAGATAATCCGTATGTTAAATAGTGAATTTAACGAATACGCAAAAAATTCATTAGATCTTTATCCTGAACAACTGCGTTCACAAATCGACTCAATAAACGATGAAGTATATCCAAAACTAAATAACGGTGTTTACCGTGCTGGTTTTGCTAAAAATCAAGAAGCATATGAAAGCGCTTTTAATGATGTATTTTATATGTTAGATAAAATAGAAGCCATATTATCAAAACAACGTTATTTAGTTGATAATAAAATATTGACAGAAGCTGATATTCGTCTCTGGACAACATTGATCAGATTTGATCCAGTATATGTGACACATTTTAAATGCAATAAATATTTGGTGACAAAAGACTATCCAAACATTTATGGTTATATGTGTGAAATTTATCAAATGAACGGAATTAAAGAGACCGTTAACATGTTTCATATTAAAAATCATTATTTCCAGAGCCATACGCATATTAATCCAACAAAAATAGTGCCACTTGGTCCTGAAATCGATTATACAAAACCACATAAACGCGATAAATTCTGAATAACAATCTACAATTCTATTTAATAAACAAGCAAATATTTCTTGTCTATTAAAACAAGCTGTAAAATAGAGACTTTTAATGTAAAGCTTTTGCATCCTTCTTATTTTTAATTTTGCACCCTTTTCGTTTTTTTTCTGTCATTTTTCCATCTTGTAAGTTTCCGTTTATTTTCTTACGCGTTCGTTCATCTTCTGTTTTTTAACCAGTAACTTATCGTATCATCTAACTATCTTCAGCTTTAATTAAATTAATTTGGGTTGGTTAAAGTAAATCACTAACTGTGAAAATATAATAGAGAAAATGTATAGCTTACTATCTCCGACACGTATTGTGACGTCACAGACATGTTTACTTACTTAAGAAGATCATTCGATCGTCATTATTAAAAAACAGGCAGTATTGACGCCGGTGTCTGGCTTAAATTGTGTGACCAAAATAAGATGTGTCTTTTCTGTGATCAACGCGAAACGTTGTACCACATATGGATAGAATGTGCATTTTTCGAACTGGTATTCCAGTTCTTAACAAATCGCATTACCCTGGTGGTTTATGTTACTGTTGATCGTGATGAAAAGCAAATTGTATACATACAAAATATCTTTCCCAACACTATGACTACCGGACAACGTAGAAACATTATTTTTATCCTTGATTCTTTTATTCAAAATATATGATCGTTTCCGGAATGTAGTACTCTACCGGAATGCACCGAAAAATATTGATATGGCAAGAAGACGGTTTGAGTCTTAGGTAGTCCATCTTCCCTTTGATAACGATTAACCATTACGATGTTCCCCTCTACTAGTCAATCACAGAATCTTATCTTAATTTCTCTGACAGCCGTAACGGGTTGGGCAAAAAAAATGATGCCACTTTACAATTGGTTAATCATATCAACTCCAAAGCTTTGTTCTGAGCTTAAAAGACACAGAATTTTCTCTAGTTTCTAGTGCTGCGTTTAGATTAAGGTGTACCCTAATCGTCTTTTCGCTGTACTCAAAAGATCGAAAGTCTCAAAAATCTCACCTGCTCACCACTTCACTAGAAAAAAAATGATTTATATCTTCATTAAAGTTATGCACGCGCGATTCAAACACGGTACTACAAACTACAATAAATTCTTAATTGTTGAAGCACAAAACGATACTTTTCAACAAAGTTTTAGAGCCGTAAAAACAGCCTACAACACAATTGGGTCATTATTTGTGTTTGGCACCATTCCCTCCAAAGGAAGATATCTCAACTCTGTCATCCCTTACCAAAACGATGCAACCCATAGAAAGAAGTGCATTTTGTAGAGCTTGAAATTCTGTATCGTTTGATATAAAAACAATAATTTTTATAAGTCAGGATTTTGACGAAGTCTCTAAAATAAAGTACCATCTCGTAGGTCAAATATGTCTTATTGCTGTTTTCCATTTTATAAAACAGTAACAAATAAGCGTATAAGAAACAACACGCAGTTATATACTACGAAAAATTCTGCGTTTTATAGACCTTGAACCAAATTTTTGCAAAATACTTAAGGGGGAAAAATTACATTTTGAATTTTCTGATTTTGTAGTTGAGCAGTTGAGATTTTCGTGGGTTTGAGTATTTTTACTGTTGTGAAAGAACGGGACATGCTTATTTTTAAAACAACGTATGAATAAAATCTAGACAAAGTTCTCTATCTTTCTGACATAAAAATGAAATTTTCTGATCAAGTTTAACTTGAGGAAAAATTTTGCAGAGTACCGCCATTTTCTCTGCCCAACCCGTTACTCTAGTTTTCATAGTGTTAATTGGATTAATCGTCTTTCTTCTTTAAAGTTAGTTGTATTTAACAATTTTATCTATACTATTTTCTCTATAACATCTTAACACAATAGACAGGCTATGATTCTGTGCTTTATTCTGTTTCTTTAATTAATATGTAATTAACCCGCCTCCTCTACTTTTGAATCGATAAAATGTTATTTTTATTTTTATTTTTGCTTTAATTTTCCGTACCTATATAATGTTTAATGTTTTACGACATTTCTAATCAGTATTCTTCCTAACAATATTTGAGCTCTTTCCGATTTGTGGGTCATGTGTGCGCTTCACTACAATTAAACTTTTATTTTTATTTTATAAACTATTTTATATTTTTAATGTTTAGTTTTAAAACTCACATTTTTAACAATATATCATACCAGGAAAAAAAAATTGCGTGATGAACATAGATATAAAAACTTGAGTACAATTGTGACTGCAATACCCTTAACTTGGCTTACCATGATTAAGAGTTTATTATAAATATAAATTCTTACACACGAATTTTCGACCTATTTATACGGTCATTGTCAGGCGCAAAAAATCGTACAGATTGAGTACATTGATGTAGAGGTGCAAAAAATCACTCTGTACGATCTTTTGCACTTCTACATCAATGTAGTCAATCTGTACGATTTTTTGCACCTGACAATGACCGTATAAATAGGTCGAAAATTCGTGTGTAAGAATTTATATTTATAATAAACTCTTGATTTAATTACAACAAATTCTAATACACATAGATCTCGACAACGGTGATAACAATGTCTTTAGCATCTTTTTGCTATTATTTTGAAAACTAATAGGAGCAACTATTGCGAGTAAAATATGACCAACGTTAACGGGGAGAGGGGGGGGGGAGGGGTAAAATAATCCATTTTCCGGTTGAAAGACGGTTGATTATGATAAACAAACAAAAGTTGATCTGTTATCAAATCAACAGCCTGGTCATGCACTAGTATAAAATTATAACTGCAGAGACAGATAACTATCGTCCCGTTACATTTTTAACGCTTTTTCTTATACATTCAAATATTATTTGCTCATGTCACCTTGACATTGAAAACATAAAAACAGCAATCGAGGCAATTTGCCGCTTTTACTGCTTCTTTTCATATTTTTCATATTTTGCAAGTATCATATTTTGATTTTTTTTGAAGTATTTTTGTTTTGATCTCTCCATTGTTTTATGCGCACGATTACCGTACACTTTACAATTAAGTGTGCAGATATGTTTTAAATAACTCAAGAACAAAAAAATGACCGAAACTGGCTCTATTTTCGCACTCTGAAAGACTTGGAAACATGCGGATATGCTTTTACTAAATGTGTATTTCAAAAATCTTTTCTTGAGTAGACTTCATGAAGATCTGTGAAAAACACGTTCGGATCTCAAAAGGATGAAATAACAACAATATTCAGTTTATTTTTTATGAGTAGATAGTTCCTGGTTAGCCTCGTTCAATATGGGAGGTCAGTGAGACCTTGGATTTTCGTAGTTTAGACAGGACAATATATTCTTTGTGAAAGATTGATCTCGAAATCCGCGTGAAATGGATCATATATTAGCATTATTATTTTCAGACGTTGAATTATTTCTGACTTTAGGAATTCGTTTTACTGATACCTCATTATAAAAAAGTGATACTTCACTGTATTATATCTGTACATTTTAGTACGAATAACGTTTTTAAATATGATATAATTGAGAATAAAATGATTGAAAGTACATAGTAATAAAAAAATAAAACTCACTAATACAACCTTTGAAAATATATCACTGGTTCGTTGTCAACGAAAAAATACTATAATACAAAAGATAAGTTGAATAATAATGTGCTTTAGTAAAAACAAATGACTAGAATAGTTATCTACTTAAATATTCGTTACAATCTTTATAAGAAAAAACATGAGGATTCGAATTTGTACAAAGTATTTGTAATATCCCATTTGTTTAATGGGTAGGAGAGCATCTTGTTTTGCCATAATTGTTTTATACAATAGCATCATCTTCTGGAATGGCTGTGAGTGAATGGTGTCGTGGATCACAATTAGAAACAGAATGGTGTCGTTTATAGACATTCGACTGCATTTGTAATACACAACTAATTTTTGGAGTATTCTCACTTGAACTTTTTGCTGATTTTATCTTCACATCTTGTTGTTTCGTACCTTGCGATGGTAGTGATCGTGTTCGAATTGTATGGTTAAAAGTTGGTGGAGCGTTCAAGTGACGACAAATCAGCGTTAGAAACGTAATTACACGCTTATGTTTCTCGTTGGAACTAAAAAGTAACAAAAATGTCAATAAAATTAGACGTTAAACGTATTTTCTTTTGCGTATATCTTCCTTCACTAATCAATCAATTTTGAGATCGTACGCTACTCACTAACGACATGATAAAAAACTAGACGGCGATCACGCCAGCGAGAGTTGCAAATGCGGTGCGAAGAGCTAAATATGATAACCGGAGGTGAAGATTTTGTTGAATAACATACAACAACCTTATCACATAACTGCTGAAGAAAGTGTAGATTACCTGCATAACAAAAAAAATTTTTCATTACTGAAGTCGGGGAGAGTTGTGAGATCCAAATAATGATTTATCAGTCTAAAGCTTTTTTTAACCTTTATTACAGCCTAGAGATTTTATCTTACATACTGCGTTAATCATCTTTAAAACAGTAATGCATTTAGAGACTAGGCATTGCGTTAATTATTCACTGAATACATATAAAAAGAACATTGTCATGAAATGAATCACATAGTATGAGAATGTGCACTCTTATAAATGCACTTGCACACGAATGACTCAGATCAATCATCGGTTTTTTTTGAAAAAAAATAAACAAGTCCCAGACGTTCAAATCACGTACTTTCAAACGTCCTAACTCTCCACTGAAACATTTGTAAAGACTGAAAATAGCTTATTTATTAATTCAAACACACAG